TGTGGAAGGCTGACTTCTCCCTGCTTACTTGTAGCAGCAAATGCAGTGTAATGGGGTTATCCCTGTGGAGACCTGCAGTGCAGTTTTGATGTTACAATTCAGCTTCTAGGTTGCCAGGCTTAAAGCTTATTAATTTGATTATCCCCTCCAGCCAGCAGTTGCATGGTATGGACACTTGTATCCACAAGCACTGAATGGTTGCAATCCATTGGTCTCTTTGCACATTAGCTACAGCACACAGGTCAAACATATCAAGTTGCTATGATTGTAGCTTGACTTCTGAGGATCTTGTGGCCCTTGGTCTTTACCCCTTGTCCAGAATTAGAGGAAGCTTCCTTGTCCCCTGTTCTGGATCATTTTTTGGATGGTAGAATTGATTTTCCCATGTGCGCACTGCTTGGTGATTGTTTTAATTTTATCTGGCTGTTACAGGAGGGTTATATTTTCTTGCAGTGTGTTACTTGTCCTCAGTTGTATATATTTCAGGTCATTGATTCAAATCCATAGTTGATCATCTTTGACATCTATTTTCAATGAAAATATGGCTTCTATGAGTTTGAATTGCCTTTCATCTACATCTGTGAACATTGCCATAAATATAGCTATGGCCCTCTTGTAGATTGGTACACACTGAGCCCCATGTTATATGTATATCTTTTATCTTTTCACTTTTTGTGTTTGAGTTCTACTGTGTTTATTATTTTTATTTTATCTTGTGTCCTATCTATTCGTCTTTAAAATTTCTTTATTTTTTTGCTCTGCACTGAAGGTTTTGCACTACTGAGTACCAAACTTGACTCAACAGCCTGTGTTGTGTAGTATGAGGTAGAACCAAGTTTCATTCTTCCCTTTAGTCTCTATATGTTGTTTCTTATAAGTATCAACATCATCATCGCCAGTTTATGGGATAAGGTAATTTATTCTCTAAAAGATTGTCTCACAACATACTTTGGCATGTTGTGAAGTGAAGTGTTCTGGGATATATAGGTAACTGGGATAACACCATTTTTCTCTCCTAACAGTTAACCCTTCCTTTTCATTTTGCAAGTGATTTATGCCCCTTTTATACATGCTCTCACATCTCTCCTTTGAGTAGAAAGCAGTAATATTTGTCACTTTGATATAGAACAGCTTTTATGATGATAAGTGTGTTCTTCTGTAGTAATGGTGTACTGTAAAGAGTATTAGCATACATTAAGACAAACAACATGAATAGTACATTTTGTGAGAAATATTATAGCAGTGACAGGGAGATTAGATGTGTATTTAGTTAGTAATACAGAATATTTATGGAATTATACCAAGATTAGAAATTACAAATATGAATGTACTATGTGAAACTTTTTTTCTTCTTTTTTTCTTTTTTTCCTCATCCTTTCTCCTTTTCTTTACTTATAGAGAATTCCAAAGCTACCTATCAGTTTTAACCAGATACCATGTGATTGATTTGTGTTTACCAGTATTTATTGAAATAATAAAACACTTTATTCCATAACTCGATTGCCTTTGGCTTTGCAGTTGTCTCGTGGACTTTGTGACTCCGGTCAGGGAAAGGTGCTAGAGGTGCTGCTGGATATGCGACGGCAACGCATGGGCCTCATCCAGACCCCAGACCAGTTGAAATTCTCATATCAAGCCATTATTTATGGTGCACATAAACTAAATGAAATGAATGGCAAGGTAAGGTGTATCTGTCTCTCTCTCTCCCTCTCTCTCTCTCTCCCTCTCTCTCTCCCTCTCCCTCTCCCTCTCCCTCTCCCTCTCCCTCTCTCTCTCCCTCCCCCTCTCCCCCTCCCCCTCCCTCTCCCTTTCTCCCCCCCTCCCACCTACTTCCCTCCCTCCCTCCCCCTCCTTCCTACTACCTCCCTCCCTCCCTCTCCCTCCCCCCCTCCCTCTCTCTCTCTCTCTCTCTCTCTCTCTCTCTCTCTCTCTCTCTCTCTCTCTCTCTCTCTCTCTCTCTCTCTCTCTCTCTCTCTCTCTCTGTGCCTGAGTGTGTGATAACTTTAGAGCCTCACCCCTATTGACAATGCTAAAATATACTGTATTATGCTCACTTAAACAGGACCCGGTGGAAGAGAGCAGCAGCGAAGAACCTTCACTTGCGGACGACCTCCCACCACAGCCTCCCCCCCGTACTGACTCCCTCACTCGTTCCATGATAGAGAGTCAGCTGGCCCAAGAGCTGCAGGAGGGCCAAGGCACTGACACGGCTCCTGAGGACGATGATGATGATGAAGAGTTTGAAGATGAGAACAAAGGTAAGTGAAGGAGCTAGGTGTTCAGGCAAAGTTGTTTGGTAGTGTCCCTGTTTGTTGTCAGGAAAGTCCCTTTTTAATTTTTGCCAATGCTGTAGATGGCATAGGGCTTCTTTTCTTCATTGGTTTTCTTTTCTTCTGTATCATCTGTTCAAATTAAGAAAATGTGATTTCCTGACATATGGGTATCAGCAGAGAAGAGATTTGCAGTGGATATTTGAAGGTTTGTATAGTTGCCATTTTGAGTAGAAATGAATATGTTATAGATGTAGCAACATCTTATTCATTACACTTATCTAAAAAATCATCTTCATATTTATCTCATCACTCCCCCCACACAAATCATTACTGTGCTCTTCACTTTGGTGATAAGTGAACCTGTATTCTAATAAGAATAAGTAAACATTTTTGTGTAAGAAAAACCCTTTATATGCAAAACAAGCAGATTGAAAGATGAGGCAACAATATCAAAATTGCCCAAAATATTATCTTCAGACCCAGAAATAATTCCATGAGGATAAATAAAAATGTTGCTTCATCTTTTGATAAATAGTAGGCTTTTCTGATATTGCTTTAGCAGGCAGAAGAATTGTCTTTAGAACTCTTTTGTGAACATACTCCTGCTAAAGAGAAGAAAAATGGAGTCATGTATGAATGAGTGTTATTTTGTGTAGGGTATTTTGTATGTGCAAGCAAGGATGGGTAGGTAGGAGGTAAGATGTATATGCTTGCAAGTATAATATGTGAATGTGGCCAGTCAGGAAGTTGGAGAGATATATGGAGATTTGGTTATTTGCTACGCATTTATGTATTCCTTTCCCAGGCATTAACTCTCCTCCTTGCTTGCTAGATGCTCCAGCAAGACCTCTGCCAGCTGAACCAGCCACTGATGGTTCTGGGCCAGAAACTTCCCCTCTACCTAGTCCAGTTGATGATATGTAAGTAAACAGTGGAATTTTTATATATATATATATATATATTGACAAAGTATCGCACCTATTAACCACAAGGTGGTACTTTGTATTTTGTCATATTTATTGTAGAAATCAGAGACAGAATCCTCAGATATTCAGAGAATTGTCTTATATTTTGGTTGACAAAAAGACATGGAAGACATGGATATATTAGGTTTTGGCAGTTTTTGTTGGAGAAAGAGGGACAGGTAAGGTTATATAGATGAGGAAAATGCATTTTAAAAAAAGGAAATAACAATGGTAAATTCTGATGTAGTTAGTATTATCGGAGTCTAAGACAGTGGATCCCAACCCCCATGGTTGTGCAAGGGTTTTCTGAGGGTTACCAGAGGGTATTAGAAAAAAATGAATAAAAGATTCCACAGTTGGTCACAATTTGATACTCAGAATGTAGATGACCCTCAAACCCCCCCCCCCCCCCCCCCATTTCAGACTTATTGAAATTCATTGTGTTAACCCCTTGGTGCCGGGTGACGCCGATCAGCGTGCAAACAAACCGCTCGAAAGCTGGCATGTGGCTGTACGCCGCCGCGGCGAGCCAGTGATTCGTGCTGATGTCCCCTACTCACGCGCTCAAAGTCGGCACACCGCCTTTGTTTGCTAGAGTGTAGAGTTTTTTTGTTTTTGTTTTTTGTACACCTGGCATCATTGGGTTAATAATATAAACCTATGTAAATAGAAAACTGTAATGTCATAAACAAGTATAAGTAACATGGAAATGGTTGAAATTATTCCTACATGTTCCCACATTTATGGTTGCTAATTTAGGTTAAGACTGTATTTAGGTTGCAACCAAAAAAGGTTGGGAAATACAGATCCAAGAGGACTTTCTTTCCACACATGGAAAAATGTTATTTTCACTGTTGCTGAATTTGATAATTTTATTATCTCCATTAGTTGTAATAGTGGTATTTCATTGGTTCTAGAATTTTTTTATTAAATTATTCTTTGACAACTTTACATGCACGTGTGTATATAGATATGAGTATCACTGAAACCGTGACATCTTAGCTAAAAACAAAGGTTGAACTTAGCAAGAAACAACTAGGGTCAACAAAGTGAATGTGCAGGTCAAAGGGATTGTCAGTTGGTCATGGACTCATATGTGCAGTTATTGACAATTGACACTTGTACCATTACAGCTCATGGTACAAATACAGTTATAGAACTCTAATTTCCATGCTCATTGGAGTTCGTAATTATTTTTACCAAAAATTGGTATTGAAAAGCTATGTAAATAATTGTTTTTTGCAAAATCTAATCATATTGCAAAGTTTATATTATTAACGCCCTGACACGTCATAACAAACCACTTGGTCTGTGGAGTGTGGCTGTACACCACAGTGATCGTCACTAACTATGTCCAACCTATTTTTATGTACCAGATACAAGTGATTCCCCCCGCCCCTCCCTCACTTTGAACATTTATGTAAATAATTTTTTTGAACAACCATGTTCAACATACTGGCCCCTGTATTTTATTGGGAAAAATTCATCTCACTATTTGGCATGTCAGCAGATGGTCTCCTTAATCCATTGGACCTGGGTGCCTCACTACCCACACATAGGCCAATATCCAAGCATTAGGCTCCGTGAGTGGTGACTTTTCCGGGTGTGTAGCTTGTAGGCCCAGTCCACACAAACACTCATGTGTAGTATTAAAACTCTGCCTCTCCGTAGCAATGTCATTACCTCTATTTCTGCATAAGCATTTTTTTGCTTCTTTACACATTTCCAAGGCCAGTGTATGTCATTTTATATGTTGAATCAAGATGGTAAACTGTTTTCCTTACACAGACTCCATATCTCTCTAGTTAGTCTGTACTCTGTGAAATAACAATAAGTAACATTTTGTTATTTATGTGATTTTTAAACTTTTGTTAAATTTTCAGTAGCACACCCTGTGTCCTGAGTATAGAAATAGTGTGCTCTTCTAGCCACAGTTCATGTATGGTACATTCCACTCTTTTACTACTAGAAATAATGATAGAGCCTCTTCCTAAATGACCATTGAGTCTAATTTTCCTTGAACGTCATAACAAACCACTTGGTCTGTGGAGTGTGGCTGTACACCACAGTGATGCGCCAAAGCACGATGAGCCGGTGATTCGCCTTGATGTACCAAACTCCCATGCTTAAAGTCGCCGTGTTGCCATTGCGCTCCAGAGCGTAGTTTTTTTTTTTTTTTTTTTTCCCCTTTCGTCGTCGTCTTCTTCTTCTACTTCTACTTCTTCTTCTTCTTCTTCTTCTTCTTCTTCTTCACCCCTCATTAAGGGGTTAAAGAAGTTACAGAACTCACCTTTGCTGGGTAATGGGTGTAACTGCAATAATGTATTTCCAGATCGTCACTAACTATGTCCAACCTATTTTTATGTACCAGATACAAGTGATTCCCCCCGCCCCTCCCTCACTTTGAACATTTATTTAAATAATTTTTTTGAACAACCATGTTCAACATATTGGCCCCTGTATTTTATTGGGAAAAATTCATCTCACTATTTGGCATGTCAGCAGATGGTCTCCTTAATCCATTGGACCTGGGTGCCTCACTACCCACACATAGGCCAATATCCAAGCATTAGGCTCCGTGAGTGGTGACTTTTCCGGGTGTGTAGCTTGTAGGCCCAGTCCACACAAACACTCCTGTGTAGTATTAAAACTCTGCCTCTCCGTAGCAATGTCATTACCTCTATTTCTGCATAAGCATTTTTTTGCTTCTTTACACATTTCCAAGGCCAGTGTATGTCATTTTATATGTTGAATCAAGATGGTAAACTGTTTTCCTTACACAGACTCCATATCTCTCTAGTTAGTCTACTCTGTGAAATAACAATAAGTAACATTTTGTTATTTGTGATTTTTAAACTTTTGTTAAATTTTCAGTAGCACACCCTGTGCTGCTGGTCACAATGGGTAGGAATAAGGTCCTGAGTATAGAAATAGTGTGCTCTTCTAGCCACAGTTCATGTATGGTACATTCCACTCTTTTACTACTAGAAATAATGATAGAGCCTCTTCCTAAATGCCCATTGAGTCTAATTTTCCTCGAAGAGCTTTTTGCACTCGTGATGAGTCACTTCTGTCACCCTGGCCTTCAGCTGAATTTTTTATGATGGCATATTCTTGTCACTTGGCCTTGAGCCAAATTATGTTGTGACATGATTGTCATGTCACCCAGATCCAATGGGTTAATGTATTCAGTGTCTGGGAAAGTTTGTTCCCTAAGAATAGTTAGGAGTTGTTTTTTTCCAGGATTTATAATTGTGCAGAGTAACATTCAGAGTGGAATTCAAGACTCACAGATATAACATTGTGGAGTTATCATAGATCATGTCAGATTCTCAGGCCTTTGTAGAGACTGCATGAATAGTTTTCTGTGTTTCCTTATATCATGCTTTTTAACCCATTCCCGACGGGTTGTGTACAAGCGTCAGAACATGCCACTTGGTCTGCAGGGTACGGCTGTACGTACAGTGACGTGCCAGAGTGCATGGAGCGGAAAGTTCTGCTACATGTAGTGGACTCCAGTGCCCAGTGTCTGGATGTTGCCAGAAGTCATCAGAGTTTATGACGCTCAGAAATTTCTGATACATGTCAGTGGAAGGGTTAATTTATATAACAATGTGCTATTAACTAAAATTGTGATGACTTGATCCCTCTGCACTGTTGCTCTGAGTTATTTTGATTTTTAAACCAGTTACTTACACTTTGCTGTTTTCTAGCACACAGGTAATATCAAAATAAGTATATTGGAAATTATGAAAAGAGGTTTTCTAAACAGTTGGGTTTCGACATTGGGACATTTCACATGTCAATATCTAGTTGATATCAGGCAGTGGCTGAACTTCCAATAGCACCATTTGATTATATTCCCTCTCCCCCTCTTATTCTTGTCAGTGAAGGGGGGAGGGCATCTAGTGCATCTAGAATTCACTCCCCAAGTTTTCCCAAGCATGAACAAATGGCATGCTGTGTATGTTGCACTGTCTTCAGATATTTTCCATCTACTTATAGAAGGATGACTGAGCAAGATGGTGCGATCTCACTGGTCCCCTCTCTTGGGCGGGGCTCATCCTCTGAGAGGGCAAAGCCTGCTGCCGTGCCCTCCCAAAAGCCCCTTGGAACATGGCTCTCAGTTTGCCTGCGAAGTTTTCTCTTCCCCAGACAGGTTATCAACACTAGTTTGGTCTTGAGCCAGAGGAAAGTGTGCCTCTTGTAAAGCCATCTTATATGAATTTATCGCATCTTATAAACCTCAGCTGCCATCTTTAAAATTTCCACCTGTTTTGGTTATAAATCACATTTGTATAAAATTCCACAATCAAAAGATAACGATTAAAAGAGTCAAGTTTTGATGTTGATAAAGTAATGAAACAAGCATCAGACAAAGGTAAAAGTAATAAGCTTTGCTAAAACCTTAAACCCAGGATTCTCTCTCCTGTTTACAAGACACTGAAAAAGGAAAATTGATTTGTGTTTTTGGCCTTTGTTGTGCAAAGTATACAAGTATACAAGTATACATCTTTTGTTATCCTTAGTGTATTGCTGTATGTCCCATCTGTTTTCACTTCTTTGTCGGAATATTTCTACAGATTTGTAAAGAAAATCATAAAACAGTTTACTAAGAAACTCAAGATCATAATGATCATAAAATGATATTTAGGTGCTAGGTGATAGGCAAGCTCTCTCTTTGTGGTGTATTTCTTTTAGATGTTTTCATTCCTTTCCTTCACCAATTTCCTCATTGTCTATTGATCTGAACACAAATTAGTGTAAATACTTTGGCTTGTATACATGCAGTGCATGTGACAAATGGATCGGGTAGAATTTTATCCTAGATGTGTGGATAAGTTTTCATCTTGGGAATTAATCTGGCAGGAGAAAGAAGCATTTTCGAAATGGAATAACGCTGATATTAATGAGGTTAATACAGAAGTACAAAAGGTAAATGATGTGAATTTTGTAAGACTGTAATTGTGTGTCCCGAGTTATTTGACAATTTGAAGATTCTTGATGGTGTACTGGACAACCTTCCAGCTTCCTAGGCTGAAGGAGTTAACCTGAAGAGACAAGGGGCTTTCTCATCTAGGCAAGAGCATCATCACTTGTGAGTAGTGGTAGTTTTGGTGTTTGGTGAGGCATAGCAAACATCTGTCCAGGCTACTTCTGTTGGGCTATGTCAAAGAGCTCTTAGGAGGGTGACTACTAGTGAGTGTTTAGAGGAGCTTTTTTCTTGCCTTTGCTTTGTGTGGTTTTGAATCGCTTCTGAACTTCATCTCTGTCTGTAGTTGTGTGCATAGAGGGAAATAATAGGAAGGAAAGGGGGAATGTGATAAAGCATAGAAAGTAAGAAATGGCACAGGCATAGAAAGTAAGAAGAGGCCCAGGAATAATATATGGATAACAAGAAAATATAAATGATTGCAGGAAATGCACAAAGGTTATACCTCTAAATCAACCTAATGAAGAAATATGTGGCACCAAGTTTGAAGGAGATGAGGAAGAGGAATTCTTTGTGTGCTGTCCTTTTGGGATCTAGGTTTTTTGTTTGGTTCTATGTTATACACAGCCTGGTTTACTAGTCTGTGTTATTTCTTTTGTAGAGTCATTGCCTCAGCTTATCTGACTTACAGATGCATGGAATTTTGTTGACTGAGCTTTGAATTAGAAAATGGTAAAGCCATTTCAAAGCAAAACTCAAATCTTCTCCTGGTCTCAATAAAAATTTGATTCTTTAAGATGAAACAAAACTAAGGAGCAAATTGCATGCATCTCCATGGCAGATTGAAGTACTAAGGAACTGTACCTTCATTCATCCTTATATGCAGCTGAAATGTTCTGCTTCCATTCCCTTATATCTATCACATTTGAGCGTGGGAGATACCTTGTCCCGTAAGCTTTCATGCAAGTTCTATCTTTCCTTCAGGATTTTTTTTTCTTTTTTTTTTTTAAGCTGTTGATTGTTTGGTAAAAGAAAACAGTAGATCCATCACTGGCACTAGGCGGGAAATAAAATTACAGAAACTAAACACTAAATACGATGTGAGATGTTGAGTGAAAAGTTTGCATTTAAATGCCATATAGTGTCCAGTGTAAACATTTATATAATAAAATCATACATCTTCTGAGTAGACAGACCCCTAAAAGAGTATTATATACATAATTATACATTGTGTCCTTTGTATACATTACTGATATATACATTATTAACTCATGTAATTGCCATTTTCTTCCTATTCTTTTGCTATTTGTAGGAACCACCACCCCTTGCCACCACAGATCCATGTACCAATAATGTGTTTTCTCATTTCCAGGCCAAATGACGTACGACAGCGGAAGCGACGGGAACGTATAGAAGCCACTGCAGCCAAGGTCAAGAACATGGTAGACAAGCAGAGAGCCAACGAACAGTGGCAAGAGAAAAAGAGGTTAATAATGAGGCCCATTTCCCTATGTGTAGCCTTTGTTATGCTTGGTTTGGGCGGAGGCGCTCTTTTCTATCGATACTTTCATGCATAGAGGAATCTAGGAGTATGCATACGGGTACTCAAACAACACCATTGGCTGATATTAGTATTATTATTTATTATCTTTTTTTTTTTCTCTTTTTTTTTTCTTTTTTTTTTTTTTTTCTTTTTTTTTCTTTTTTTATTCTTTATTCTTTTTGTGGATTCACAGTTGCCTAAGAAATGAACGCATTTTAAAGAAAACTTACCTTTTCTTTTTATAAATCTATTACTGTTTAACAATTATTTTGTTTGTTGGAATTACATTGAAAAATAGTTGATATTCCCTCTGAAAAGAAATAATAATATTTTCCCATAACTTGTTTTTTATTTAATATTATAGAAAAGTTTTTGTTAGATTTGACAAAAAAAAATGCAGACATATATGGAGAAAGTAGAATGAATGAAGAAAGCATGGCAGCTTTAGTGCCAGATATTTTTTGATATTTTCAAGGACAGATTTCAATTTTATTTTGACCTTTTTTTTTCTCTCTCTCTCTCAAATGAAGTTAAAATCACACATGGTGCACTTCTGTAACATCACATTACAAGAATGTTAGAGGAAAAATAATAGCAGTATTATCCTCTGTGCTTCAGACTTTTTCTTCTATAATCTTTCAGTTTAATAATGAATTGATAATTTACTTCCTTTTGGTTTATGTATGTTTTTTATTTTTATTTTTTCATTTGTAATATATTTATATAAAGATTCAACTACTTAGCAAAAGCAATACAGTATTTTGATGATATATAAGGCTACAGGACTGGAGAATTTACACAATTGTATTATATGATCATTTATTATTAGGATTTATCATTTTTGTACTTGGTTAGTAGAATGTGTGACTGTGTGAATATATGTGTGTGTGTGTGTGCATGAGTACATGTGCGTGTGCATGTGTGCCTGCATGTGTGTATGGGTGCGTGCGTGTGTGCTTGTGTGTGTATGCACCCATGTGTGTGTATGTGCATGTGGGTGCAGGTTTATAATTGTGTGGATGAATGCCTGTACCTGAAGTAGGAAAGAGTATTGGCTGTGCCAAAACCATTACTTCACCAAAATTTTGCTCACCCAATTTTGTTTTGTCAACCATTATCTCTTCACATTTTTAATTGAATGAATTGTATTATTGTAGATCTTTTATGAATGATTTTGTTTTGAGGCATGATCAAGTACATTTCATTACTTATTAAGAAGAATTGCCACTGTAAATGAAAAGGTACTTTTTTTTTTTCCTTTCTTTTTCTTTTCTTATTTCTTTTTCTTTTCTTATTTCTTTTTCTTTTTCTTTTCTTCTTTTGTTGTCTTCTGATGTCAGGATGTGTAGACATTATATTTGAGCCATGCATAGTGACAGTCAAAAGCAGCTTAACTTTGCAATTTTTGTTTTGTTTAGTGTTGTGATTGGAAGCTGATGATATCCAGTGTATGAGTGAATATATGTCAAAGAACAGAAGTATAGTATTGGACTTTCAAACACCTGTTTTGAGACTATGTATAAAAAATGTACACACATTGTTATTTACTGAATTGGATGAATCTAGGTCATTATTGTCTAAGTGTAATTTGATTTTTTCATCAACGCTTGGTATTCTGGATACGTCCGTCATTTACATCACCAACACAGTGTTATTACATGATTTGGTGCCTCTTGCATATTAGCCATTTAGTTCTTGATGCAATGGTAGTATACACCAAATGTCGTATGATTTAGATGTCAGTTGACCAGTAGTGCTACAGCTAAGACGTGCATTTCCATTTTTTTAATCATGAGAGAAGTAGAATGACATTGACAGCAACTGGGCAGGAGGGAGCAGTATACTACTCGTTATGTTTTATTAAATCTTTACCGAAAGGTGAATGTCTTTTGGATGATCGTTATTTTTCTCAATCTGATTGTTAATTTTCCCAACATCTTTTGACTGCAGTGCAGACATTAGAGAGATGAACATTGTATCATCTATTTTAAAATGGTTATTTCATAGTATGTGCAAATTATAGTTATGGAAAATCTCAATTTTCTGCTCAGGTTGGCAAAAATGTTATTAGTCACTTGTTTTAGAAAGCTTCATTACAGTAAGTTTTGTGCATGAACATGTGCGAGCATGTTTAAATGTACATTTCCACATTTTGATGCATGTGTAGTCATGATTATGCACTTACAAGATTGTGTATAGCTGTGGGTTTGTGTCTGTGCATGTAGGTCTTATTCTATTCTTATTTTCCAACTTAGCATCTCACAGGTAATCTTGACCAATGCTATGTTAGCTAAGCAATTAACAATTAGAATTTAGATGTAATGAATATTTATGGTACAGTCAGAAGGGAAACTTTAAGTGACTAGAAGTATTGCTTGGAATAAGCTGTTATAAAAGTTGCAAGTTGCTTTTGATGATATTGAGAGTGAGTATGAGTGAGAGAGTGGGTGGGTATGACAGTGTCTGTAATTGTATGTTTAAGTCTCTGTAAAGCTAGTTATTATTTATAAGATTTTTCATTAGTTTGCGTTCAAAACATAATCAATAGATGCTCTGTGTTATGGTACTCTCTTCTGTGACTTTTTATTAACACTTTTTCCTTCCGTTTTTGTTTTTCTTATTTATGAGTGCTTCAGATATTCATCAGTTAGGAGTAGATATGTTTTGGAAAATTTGTTGGGATATCATATGGAGATAAATTGTGTGTTAGTCATTGAATCATAAAGTTCAGTCATATCTGGAGAGCCCAAGTTTTGGGAATTGCTTTTGTATGAATAACAGAAGAG